CGATCTGACCAGCACATAGACTGATCTGACTTCTGGACAGGACCTCAGCAGCTTCTCCAGCAGCACCTTCAATAACAAGCAAGCAAAATGACTCACTTTGGACTGAGAATGTTACAACTGGTCAGTCCTGCTAAATCTTCACAAAAGACAAACTCTGATACAGAACAAAAAAGTTTTTTTTAGCTTCTCTCTTGTTTCAAAGAGGTTGCATATTTTATTAGGCAAAGATTTTGCACAAGAGTCCTCCTTATACAACTCCCACTTATGTGCGCTTGGTACTGGCACAAGGAGTACACTAGCTTGTGAACACAGTGAGGCTGACTTCGTGTCCCATCCCCATCTCAAACTGGGGTCTGTCACATGCAAGTTGGATGTGTTAACCACTACATGGTGGTTGACTAAGAGGCCTTCCGACTCTCCTCTAACAGCTTAAGTAAAGTGGAAGTAAGAAATTCAGGACATGACTCTTTGTCTCTTTGTTTCTGTATATCATTCCAAACATATCAACTACTAATGTGCAACATTTTTATTAACCATATAAAAACACAGTGATAATGAAAAAGATCACATTCGAAAACGCTGAAAGATGTTTGAAGTTGGAACTTGAGATTTGCAATGCATCATGGGTTGAGTAATCATTTCTCTTGCCAAAAATTTGTTCTGTACACATTCTTGCACTTTTGCTTTCTTCCGGTTCCCTTTATTTTGAGGACCCAAATCAAATATTTTTGACTCACAGCTGCTCGGCTTGGTTTGACGCTTAAATCTTTTATATAAAAGTTGCGATGCGTCACTGGAGGAAATTAATGAGAAACTCACTTCTGGAACCAGAGCCTTTTAAAATGAGTGGTCACTGCTGAGCTCTATATTGCAGAATAGTAGCTGACAATAGAATTCGATGTGTTTGCATCATCACAAAACTGCAACACTGCAGTTCACTGGATGGCTGCAGTTGTGCAGAGACGTTCCAGCTGATGGAGAGTCATCGTGTGTGCCACTTCACTTTAACATACAACTCAAGTCAAGTGTGTGTAACATGCTTCAGACTGGAAACTCTCCAGATAGCCACTTTAAAGATTACCAAAGTTCATATTGCTGGGCTCAGCCCTGCTGCTAGATGATGAAAACCACAACTGTACCTTGCCCATGAAGCCGGTCGCTCCGGAGATCAGCACGTTTTTTCCTGCATAGTATTCTGGGATGTTCACCATGATGTCTGCAGTCTCTCAATAATACCACACGACCTGCACAGACAAGATAAGAAAAAGATGAGTAAAATAAAATAAAGCTGTGTTCCAAGGACAGTGAAGTCCTACACAGACTCACATTTGAGGAACTTCAAGGTTGCCAAACCTGTTTTGTGCAAAATTTTAAATCAGCCTGTAACATCCGCTTCATTCTGAAAACACACCACACCAGGAAATGCTGCAAACATGAAAGTGATTCTGCACTTTAAAATCTAACTTCATTTTAAAGTCTCCAACATAGCAATGTGTAAAGTTTTTAAACATGCCTGTGCTTTTCTAAACTGGTTTGAAGTAGGTTTAGCTGGAGAACGGCAGCTGTAACTGAACCAGTCTGTATCCACAGCTTGACTGGGAGGGTTTCCCAGTTATTTTAGTATGTTTTGATTATTTAATGCTAAAAATAAGAACATGGTGGCTTCATCAATTATACAACTCTTTAAAGTAGAGACCAATTAAATGGTTTTCTTACTATAAATCAAAAAGAAGTAGTTGGACCTGGACAATTTTATATATTAGGAAAACAAAAGTCCAAAGCGCACAACTTTGCTGTCCTTGAAAGACCTCCAAATATGCAAATATAACTTTAACAAGCTGAATAATTTCCATGAAGTATAGGAACAGTATTGTTTATTTTTAGAATAGTGCTGTAATACCACTAACAAGGATTTCCC